TCACCTGTGCGATGCCCTCGGCGAGGGGGCGGCTGAGCCAGCGCAGGGCAGCGAAGGAGCGGGCACAGCGCGACACCTGCGCGGATGTCAGAGCCCCCAGGTGGGGCTGCAGCTCCAGGGACAGCCTGTGCAGCACCTGGGGCTGCTGGAAGTTCAGCTTACCTGGGCAGAGGGGCACAGCTGAGGGCGTGGGGGCACCTGTCCCCCAGTGCCCCCACCCCACCCAGGCACCCCAGCACACAGGGGAGAGCTGGGAACGGTCCCCTGGAGAAGGGAAGGCTCCAGGGAGACCTCAGAGCCCCTTCCACAGAGAGCATGCCTGGCACCAGTACAGACCAGTATGGGTCACCTCTGAGACCAGTACAGACTGGGAAGGGCTAGGGGCAGGGAATCCCACCCAAAGCTACCTGGTGCCTCAGGTGGAAACACCCCGTGGGTCACCTGAGCTCGGGAGGAACTGGGGGTCACTGGGAGGACTGGTGTCACTGGGAAGAACTGGTGGCCCTGGGTGCAAGTGGTGTCACTGGGAGGGAAAACTGTCCCCAAGTAGCCCTGGTGTCTAAAGGGGCTCCAAGTGTGCTGGGGATGGAGGTGGGACACCTGGAGTGACAGGACACCCGGAATGGGCTCACACTGAGCTCCCAGGTGTGCTGGTGTTCGTGCCTGGAGCACACAGGTAACCTCACAACGCCCCTGTTCCACCCCCAGGACAGGGATAACCCACTGGAGAACAGCCCCTCTGGATTCCCTCCTCCCACCTGGCTGGAGAATGGCCCCTGGCAAGGTTTGGGACCCCAAAGCTCACCCGGCTCCCCCCACGTGCCACCAGCCCAGGTGGTTCCCAGCCCCATCCCACAGGATACATCCCCAAATGCGTGCCCAGGTGCCCCCTGGCACTCACTGTAGGCGAAGAGCAGGTCGGTGAGCACGGGCAGCCCCAGCTCTGGGGGTTTCTGCAGCAGGTGGTAGGACAGGGCCCGCAGCAGGGGCACACAGCGGCGCTGCTGCAGCGCCAGTGCCACGGCCATGCGGCGGATCTCGTCTGCATCCAGCTGCTCTGCCAGCTCCAGGGCCTGGGGATGGACAGGGGGACATGTGAGAGGGGATCTCGTCTGCATCCAGCTGCTCTGCCAGCTCCAGAGCCCGTGGAAAACAGGGCAGGTGAGGGGGAGCGGGCAAAGGGGGATCCCCTTGGGATCAAAGTGCTCCATCAGCTCCAGAGCCTGGGACAGGACAGGGGAGACAGGTGACAGGTGAGGGGGGATTCCCTTGTGATCCAACTGCTCTGCCAGCTCCAGAGCCTGGGACAGGGACAGGGGACATGTGAGAGGGGATCTCCTCAGCATCCAGCTGCTCTGCAGCTCCAGGGCCTGGGGATGGGACAGGGGGACATGTGAGAGGGGATCTCCTCAGCATCCAGCCGCTCTGCAGCTCCAGGGCCTGGATAGGTGAGAGGGGACTGCCCCAGGATTGAACTGCTCTGCCAGCTCCAGGGCCTGGGGACAGGCATAGGGGACATGTGAGAGGGGATCCCCTCATCCACATCCAGCTGCTCTGCCAGCTCCAGGGCCTGGGGACACAGGGGATGGGTGAGAGGGGATCCCCTCAGGATTGAACTGCTCTGCCAGCTCCAGGGCCTGGCACAGGGGTGACAGGAGAGGGGGGAACAGTACCCAGGTGTCCCACGTGCCCAGTCAGTGCCCAGGTGTCCTCGGGGCCCCCCACAGTGCCCAGGTGTCCCCCGCAGTGCCCAGGTGTCCCACCTTGTCCTCCAGACGCTCCATGAGGGCGGGTGCCAGGTGTCCCACCTTGGCCATGAGCGTCACCACGGTCCGTGTCCCCTCCAGCTCCGTCCAGCGCAGCTCCAGCTT